GGCGCCCCTCCTTGAAGCGTTATATTGATGACTGATGAGGAAAGGGAGTCGGGAGCCCGGCCCCTCCCGTGGATCTGTTGGGTGAGAACTCCTGGAGCTCTCTCAAGCGAGAGTGGTTGGACTGGTTAATCTCTGGGGTCTCCTTAAACTAAAAAAACTACTAAAAAAAAAAAAAAAAAAAAAAAAATCCAAGAAGTGAACATCTTAGAAAATTTACAGAGTTTCTAACAGAAATTTTGAGTAAAATTTAAATTTACTTTTTGTAGAGTGCTAAAGGTATTAAAAAAAAAAAAAAACTTGGTCTGTTTAAGCTTTTTAAGATTAAGAATTTTTTCGGGGCACCTGGGTGGCTCAGTTTGTTAAGTGTCTAACTTCAGCTCAGGTCATGATCTCGCAGTTTGTGGTTCGAGCCCCGCTTCGTTGGGCTCTGTGCTGACAGTTCAGAGCCTGTAGCCTCTTCGGATTCTGTGTCTCCCCTTCTTTCTGCTCCTCCCCTGCTCATGCTCTGTCTCTCTCTGTTTCTCAATAATAAGTAAATGTTTAAAAAAAAAAAGTTAAAAATTTTTTTTTCTCAATAATGTCAAAATTACTTCCTGAACTTCCTCTTTGTACTTTCACAGTTATACATTAAGGTACATGGTGTTACAGTGTGAAGGATCTCGTGTCTTTGGTCTTTGAATCACAATAAGACACGACTGGGGCAGGCTGGGGTCATGGTGGGAGAAGGCACCGTGCTGTTCAGGCAGAGCGGAGGGCCTTTTATTTATTTATTTTTTTTTTGAGTCAGGAGCTTGGAGGACAGAAGAACTCCAGAATTAGTGAATGTACCTTTACTGTCAGGAACGGTATTAAAAGATAGACATGCAAAATCCTGCGGAGAACATTGCGGATTTCCAGCACACAGGAAAGGCAGCCCCCAGCCCTTGGGGACACCAGAGTCTTTGGATTTTTCTCACTGCTCAGGGTGTTGCTTCTGGTCACTTTTCCTTTTGTGAGTGTGAAGTCAAGCTGCTGGTTCTGGGCCTTCCTCATGCTGTTTCCGGAAAAAATCTTCTTTAACTTTTATTTATTTGTTTATTTTTGAGAGAGAGAGAGAACAAGGAGAGGACGGGCAGAGAGAGAGAGAGAGAGAGAGAGAGAGAGAGAACCCCAAGCAGGCTTTGCACCATCAACGCAGTGTGCAGTGTGGGGCTGGAACCCACGAACCTCAAGATCATGACCTGAGCCGAAATCAAGAGTCAAACGCTCAACCGACCAAGCCGACCAAGCCGCCCAGGCGACATGAGAAATTTCTGCAAATAGAGTTCACTTGGATTTGTGACATCCTTGATGTGGTTAATCTTTGGGATTCCATCTGGTTTGGGCCAGTTTGCATTGTTTTGAATTGCAGACTTTGTGGTGTTAGGTTGCAGAGTCAGGGAAAGTTTACTTCTGACCTTTATGAGTTCAAGGGTAGACTTGCCCTTTGCCTGGAAGGCTGTTACTTTATTGAGGTGAGCCATTGACTGAGGTTCTGTCCCACTTAAGAACGTGCTAGTGCCTCAGGGCCCTTTGAGGAGGAGCCTGCTTTCAGGATTTGTTAAATGAAGAGATTTATCAAACCATGATGGCATTTGAAAGGAGTAGGAACAGAAGTCTTTGCTTCAGTTTTGAATGGTTAGAAGTTTTAACCCTTCAATAGTGAATAATTTTACAGAAGTTTGGTAGTTCCCCTACTTGATATCTCTTGATTTGAAATTCAGGTCACTGAGTCCATTTTGGCAAAACTTGCAAGTGAATCCCACCTCCAGGACTCATGCTGGCCGCGGTGGCGGGGCCTTGAGGGGACACATTCTTCCCTCCCACCCTTGGTCACCTGGCCCCTGACCTACTGAGAAAGCTTTATTTTTCCTCGCCTCACACCCTTCCTAGACAGCTTTGTGAGAGACTGTTGGATGGAGGAACCGGAGACTGCATAGCCCCCTCTTCCCCAGGACAGGGCTGGTCGCGCCCCATGTCCTGCAGGCTGTGCCTTTCCTCAGCTCTGGGATGCAGACTTCCAGCCCATCAGAAAGCACCACGGGGGGAGAAGAGCAGACACAGTCGGGTGGGGGCAGAGAAATCCCTGGCCCTGCTTTTTTTATCCCTTCCAACTGAAGCCTTTCTTTCCTTGACCTAGGTGTGTCTCCAGCACCTGAGTGGTAACTGGTTAGGCTTGCCTTTGGCTCCATCTGGTGGAGCCCAGGGTGGGGGAAGTTTGCTTGAACAAGAAGTGAGGTTGGCAGAGGAGGCGTGTGTGCGTGTCTGTGTGGGTACACGTGCATATCTGCGTGTGCATACATGTGCGCATGCATATGCGTATGCATGCCTGTGAGTGTGCGTGTGTGCGCATGAAGGCGAGAGAGGGAGATTGGCTGCAGGCGGTGGTGTGGAGCCTGCCGGGTACTGGAAGGGCAGAGGGAGGGAGTGGGGGAGCACCTGGTACCAGGGACAGCGTTTCGAGGGGGAGCTCAGGTGTCCAGGTGGGTGGCGACTTGAGCGGCAGGAGAGCAGAACCTGGTCAGAGGTTCATGGGGGGGGAGGACCCCTTCAGAGTGGCCTCAGCCCCCCACCTGTTTATTGGTGTGCCCATAAGTTCTTTCTGCAATTTCAGTGATGATCTGGGATGACCTGAAAAAGAAGACTGTTATTGAAATAGAGTTTTCTACGGAAGTCAAAGCAGTCAAACTGCGGCGAGATCGGTAGGTTTGCTATCTAAGTGTTAAAAGGAGAATGGGTGGTTTCTCTGAAGATGGCTGACACTTTCTTTCACATGGAAGGAAGAAGTGTGTTTAGGAAAATGTCTTCAGATGTCGTGACGGTAGTTCATGACCTAAGGACGCAGGGATATCTGTGTTGCCACAAAGGTGTGAATTTGTGAGCTTCCAGGGATGGCACAGAAGCAGTGACACTGGATGGGGCCGGCAGCCTCCAGCGGCTCTCAGGCCTTCAGAGACCTGTCCACATTCAGCATGTTCCCACTGGGGACACCAGGGGAGAGCCTGGACTTGCCTCGCTCTTAGTCCAGCTTTTCTAAATGCTGCCTCAGTAAATGATCCCCTTTGAAGGAAAAGGAAAGTTTGGAGACTCCTCAGGGGAAGGTGGCATTGATGACACCTGTGGAAGTAGCTTCTGTCAGCTGTTTACTCAACGGTGCTCCGAACAGAGACGTTCTGGTACATGGAGTGAGATAGACTTTCGGTGATTTGGATTGTAATGTATGATTTGTATCTTCTACTCAGTGTGGGAGGACAGAGGTGCTGAGCCAAGTGAATGCAGTAGGGGGCTGTCACCTGTCACACCTGCACTTTTGGGGTTGTGACTTCCAGTAACATCGGTTTTTAGGACCTTTTTTTTAATGTTTTATTTATTTTTGAGAGGTAGAGAGACAGTGTGAGTAGGGGAGGGGCAGAGAGAGAGGGAGACACAGAATCTGAAGCAGCTCCAGGCTCTGAGCTGTCAGCACAGAGCCCGACATGGGTCTCGAACCCACGAACTGTGAGATCATGACCTGAGCCGAAGTCGGACGCTTAACCGACTGAGCCACCCAGGTGCCCCTAGGGCCCTTTAATAATGCAGATACTTGAGCCAAATACGGATCTTTCTAACATTTCTAAATTGTCAAGACGTATTTAAAAGTTTACAGAGAAATAATTTCTGCCTCATGATTCTTACTCTAGATGAAATATTAGATGAAAATGTCTATAAATCTCAGAAAGGTCTGTTAGGCAGCTGGCAGCCATCTTGTTAACCAGTGTCTGCCACAGCCCCGTGCTCACAGGTGACCTCCAAAGATCACTCCTGCGAGGGGCTCTGATGCCAGAGCGATCCTTCTGGATGTGCTCTTTGTACTAAGTTTCCAAGTGATAAGAACAAAAATCACAGAATGCTTGAGTTTCGCTTTTGGGAATAGGAGTCCTGATTTTTTTTTTTCTTTCCAGAATCGTGGTAGTTTTGGACTCAATGATTAAGGTGTTTACATTTACACATAATCCTCATCAGTTGCATGTCTTTGAAACCTGCTATAACCCTAAAGGTAAGCAATTCAGAGGTGTCACTGTGGAAATTGGCATCTTCACGTTCTGTCCAGGCGTACACAGACTTGTGCTTGACGCCCTTTCCTCCGGCCCGTCTTTGTCTGAGTGGCATTGCTCTGGTGAGACGGGTCCTGAGGCACATCCGGGACACCCTGAAGGAGACAGGCCCCTCCTTTTTTCCTTCTCCACCCTTTGCCTCCGGTCACTCCATTTCGCTCCTGGCCACGTGCTCACTTCAGAGCCTGGCCTGGTAGGCAGTGGCTCTGAGATTGCCTTGTATCACAGTGGGGGGGCGGGGGTGGGGTGGGGGGGGTGGAGTTTGAGGGAATTTTCACCGTCGTTGTCAGCCACTCAGGAGCCCCGCAGTTGTGTGTCTGCTGAGTTCTGAGGGGTTTCCTTCCACCTTTTCTTTGCAGGGATCACAGATGATTGACTTTGCTATTCGTTATAGCATCTTAATTTCTTTTTAAAATGTTTAGGTTTTTATTTTACCTTAGCTTTATTGAACTATAATATACATAAAATTCATTTTTTTAACGTCTGTTTATTTGGGAGGGGGGTGCAGAGGGAGTGAGAATCGCAAGCATGCTCCACGCCATCAGCACAGAGCCTGACATGGGGCTTGATCTCCTGAACTAGGGGATCATGACCTGAGCTGGAATCAAGAGTCAGGCGATTAACTGACTGAACCATACAGGCGCCCCCCCTCTAAGGCTTACCAGTTTCAAGTATATTATTTGGTAATATTTAGTCATTGTAACACTTGTGTAACTACCACCAGAATTGAGACAAACCTGTAGCATCACCCAAAAACATTTCTTCAGGCAGTCCCTTTGCCCACCTGTGCTTCAAGTTGTGCCTTTTCAGATGTGTTTGGTGTTTTTCTTTTAGCTTAGTATTTTTTGGATTTCTCCGTGTGTTCAGTAGGTATGATTGTTTTCCTTGCTAAGTAATACCCCATAGTACGGCTGTCCCACATTGTTAGCCACACTGGTGTTTTGCTGAGAATATTCACATACATGTCTGTATGGAGGTAGTATTTATTTCTCTTGGCTAAATACTGAAGAGTACAGTTGCCGGGTCCGGCTGTAGTTCTGAGTCTGACTGTGTTTTCTGGCCTCCCCATTGGTGATCTAGGAGAGCTCCTTAAAATTAGGTAGTGTAAGTCTTCCAATTCAATTTTGTTCTTTTACAAGAAAATTTGGCTATTCTGTGGCTTGCCGTTCCCTATAACTTTCAGTATTGCCTGGTCTGTCTCTTCAGGAAGCCTGCAGAGGCTGTAATTGTGACCACGCCCACCCTGCAAGGGGATTGTAGATTGTGGCCGTGACCGTAGTAGATCAGATCAGGCTCTCTCCATCTGTCAGATCTTCAGTTTTCTTTTTTTTTTTTTTTTTTTAATATTTTTTTATTTATTTCTAGGAGAGAGAGAGAGAGAGACAGCGTGAACAGGGGAGGGTCAGAGAGAGAGGGAGACACAGACTCTGAAACAGGCTCCAGGCTCTGAGCTGTCAGTCAGCACAGAGCCCGATGCGGGGCTCGAACCCACGAACCGCGAGATCATGACCCAAGCGAAAGTCGGACGCTTAACCGACTAAGCCACCCAGGCGCCCCTTCAGTTTTCTTTACATCATGTTACAGTGTCTCATATGGGCACTGTTAAACTTACCCCTAAGTGTTTTTGGTTGTTTTATGCAATGGGGTTTTTTAGATTTCATGGTTTTGTATTCTCAGGTAGCTAGAGCCATGGAAGACGGACATTTGACAAAGTTCATTCAAGAACAAGTTCAGCAGATGTTTGCAGTTAAGAGGTGGCCTAACGGGAGTTAGCTTGGTCTGTCTGTCCTCTAATACCCTTTATAATGAAAAGATTTTTTGATTCTGATATAAATGGAAACCCATGAATAAGTCTTACTAGTTTTTCTTGTGAGCTACAGGGCAGAGAGCAAGTTTTATTTGGAGATAGCAGAGGCTTTTAGATAGTCCTGAGTCCTGATGGGTTTTCTCCGTCTCCAATCAGGCCTCTGCGTCCTGTGCCCCAACAGTAACAACTCCCTCCTGGCTTTCCCGGGCACCCACACAGGCCACGTGCAGCTCGTGGACCTGGCCAGCACCGAGAAGCCACCCGTGGACATTCCTGCCCACGAGGGCGTCCTGAGCTGCATTGCTCTCAACCTGCAGGGAACAAGAATTGCAACCGCATCTGAGAAAGTAAGTGTGTGTCTCTCCCTTCGTGGAGCCGAGCGCCTGGCCCAGCTGCCGTTGCACTCCCGGGACTTGACTTGTGGGCCCCACGGCAAACTGGCCCTTCCCTGTGGGTTCTCGGCCACCGCCTCTTGGGAATCAGGTTGCAGTTGACAAACATAGTCAGTCGAAAAGTCGTTTCACTTGGTGAAACCTCTTTTTGGGGAGCAGTTTGTGTGTGTTTTTCTAGCTGGCCACGAGAGTCCTAGTGAGGACAGCATCTCCAGACAGAACTGAGCCCTCTGGGAGCGGGTCAGCCTGGGCTGTGGTGGTCGCTCAGGCGATGCCAGGGCAGGGGATGCAGGGGGCTCATGGAGCGCTGGTGCCCAGGGGCCTGGCTCCTACCCAGTGCTCTCGGGCTGGACAGCTACCAGCTAATTCTTTAGTAGACAAGGGGCCCAGTTGAGATTTAGATGATGTGGGGGATTTGGGGAAGGGGTTGTATGGGCTAATGGGTTTGTGAATATGATATTCATTTCAAAAAACTAAAAAGTTGTGAATGATAATAAAACACTTCACTGTTTTTCAAAGGGGACCCTTATAAGAATATTTGATACTTCATCAGGGCATTTAATCCAGGAACTACGAAGAGGATCTCAAGCAGCTAATATATATTGGTAAGAAAGCCACGTTCTCACCCGGGAGGCCACTGCTGTGGGGTGACTGCATTGATACAGGGCCTGTATGACTGAGGGAGTCAGGACCCCCTGCCCAGGTGGGCAGAAGGTTGCTGTGCTGTTAGGGGATTAGGTTTGAGCTTGTATTACTATGACTGACTTTAAAGTGTCACCTTGGGAATATGCACAAAAGTAGACAGAATGTGATTAACTACCATTGACCCATCACCCCGCGTCCGCATTTGTCCGTGTTCGTCAGTCGTCTTTCCCTCCACTCTTCCTCTAGCTTGTCTCTAGGATAAGCTCTGGTCTTTTAAGGCAAACGCTGGAGCCTTGTTAGCTCCACTGCAGTCACTCAGGCGCCTCGGAGGCACCACAGCCCACGGGTTTGTGGCGCTGTGGTGACGGTCCCCTGCGTGGTGGGGTCTCTTTCTTGGCACCTGTGGCCTTTGCAGGTGCTGAGCAGCATTTGGGTCTGTGAGACACACATGGAATTCATATACGAACTCAGGGCATGTGCCCATCCCGTGGGGCTCTCCTGTCTGTCTGTCCTCACGCCGCCTCTAGCCAGAATGGGGGCCCGCCCTGCACCTCCAGGGCCCAGGCGCGTTGGACAGTTTTCTCACCTGGGGGCCCCCAGGGCCTCAGGGTGGGTTTACAGGAAGCCCTTCCCCTCCCTGGCACCCAGGGAGGGCCCCTGCTGTGACACGCTGGGTGGTCCCACGGAGAGTGTGGCAAGGGTTGGGGGGGTGCCGGGGGAAGCTGGTTAATGGAAGGCAGTGATGCTTAAAATTGCTCTCTGGAATTCGGGGAGGTTTCAAGACACCAGCCCACGTGCTGTGGCACTGTGGTTGGGGCCGGGCTCCTCTGCAGCCGCACGAAACTAGAGCTTCATTTGATTTCTCTGCAGCATTAACTTCAACCCGGACGCTTCCCTCATCTGCGTGTCTAGTGACCACGGCACAGTGCACATTTTTGCTGCCGAAGATCCAAAAAGGAATAAACAGTCCAGGTAGGTTTCCCAGAGCTGAAAGGACTGGCCAGTCCCCCAGGCACGTGCAGTATGAAGGCCACGTACACATGGGTACAGCCTAGTGCTGTAAATGCATTTTACTTTACCGTAGGGTTTTCTTTTCTCTGGCTTACTTTAGTGTAAGAATACAATAACACATATAACGTACAAAATGTGTTAATTGACCATTTGTTATTGGTAAGGCTTCTGGTCTCCAGTAAGCCCAGAGTTCAATTTTGGGGGAATCAAAAGTTACACACAGAATTTCGATTGCTGGGTGTTGGTGTCCACCCCTCTCACTGTTCGAGGGTCCACAGTAACTGATGTTACAGCGGACATCGTTGCTTGCTTGTCTTTAGCTGCTTAGTGTGTGACCAGGATCCAGTCACCTTGCCTGTGGTTTAGGACTCGCACCTGAGCCCTGGTGGCTGTGGTTGTGTCCCGCAAATCCGCTTAGTGCAGTAGAAACCTGGTCAGCTTACTGGTGCTGATGGTTTCGGGGTTTATTTTAGGCCATTTGGAAGCACTTTGTTTTTTCATGCAAGAAGTAAAATTAAAAGGAAGAACAGAATTTAAAGCATCTGGGTTCAGGCTGTATGAAAGAGCCGCGTGTTTCACCTTTGTCATGGAAACATAACTGCCTTTTCTCTCCTTCCTCTTCTCTCCGCCCTCGCCTCCTAGTCTGGCCTCAGCCAGTTTCCTTCCAAAGTACTTCAGTTCCAAGTGGAGTTTTTCCAAGTTTCAGGTTCCCTCAGGCTCTCCGTGCATCTGTGCCTTCGGAACAGAGCCAAATGCTGTCATTGGTAAGTGGTCCTTGGCGCTGGCTGTCCCGTGCTCACTCTCCTGGGGCCCAGGGGTCCCACTCAGGGCCTGCACAGCTGTGAAGGGGGACACCAGCTCCCCGCCCTCGGGGTTTCCCAGGAAGATGTGGGGGCAGGGTTTTCTCCCTCCGCACGTCAGTGGGACACACAGACCAGCCCCAGAGCAGGTGGGATTCCTGACTGACCGCATGTGCACTCAGTCAGGAATGGGGTCCCTTGTCGCCCACAGTCACTCTGGGCTGGTGCTCAGAGCAGGGCCGTTCACAGTTCCGCTCAGTGAGGTCTGCTTGCTTTGAACTTTGAGGGAAGAAACACGTGAGTAAAATGGTCTTCTTCTGTCTCAGCGATTTGTGCAGACGGCAGCTACTACAAATTCCTATTCAACCCCAAGGGGGAGTGCATCCGGGACGTCTACGCGCAGTTTCTAGAAATGACCGATGACAAGCTGTGACTCTCCATCAGGAATGCAATCAACACCCATGGCCGACCGCCACCAAAGCGCTGAGTGTGCCCCACAGACTCCTGGGGCTGGTGCCGGCGGTGGGACTGCCCGGGGACGTCAGTCCTGCAGCCACTCTGTGGTCGTCTGTTTTTCTGAGCAGGGCTTCCCATCTCCAGTATTAAAGAAAGAATCATCATCAAGGCGGCGTAGACACTTACGTGGCTCTGAGCAGCCCGGGCCCGGCTGCCGGCCTGTCTCCTTTAGCTCAGCTGTGACGCTTTTGTGCTTCCGCTGCCCCCCCCCCCCCGCTCCCCCCGTGCACTTGGGGGCTCCATACACACATAGGGACTGGGCTGAGAAAACAGTGGACAAATTGAAGTTTGTTTTGGCAACAGATTCCATCATTTTTACTGAGTCTGTAATGGGGAAAGGAACAAATATGTAAATGTTAGTTCTTCTATTACAACCAGATTTTTAAGTAGAGTAATAATACCAGCAGCTTGCCTTAGGAAAGGAGAAGGGACGTCCTTCTCCCGTCCGACCATGAAGAAGAGAAACACGGCCGTGTTCAGGGACGCAGGGTGGGCGTCTTCTCTGCGCCTGTCGTGAGCCTGTGGCGTGGCTGTGCGCCTGTCTTTGTGTCGGGATCTGCGGTCTCCTGAGTGTCCCTGGTGTGTGTCGAGAGCAGTGACCTGTAGACTTTCAGAATCCGTCCCCGAGGAAAGCGTCCCGTAATTCGGGGGAGGGGAAGGGAGCTTTGAGCGTCCGGGCGCGGCAGGAGGCCTTGGCCGGCGCCTCGGGTCGGTGGGTCGTGCGCTGCGGGGAAGGAGAGGCGCGTGGTACGGTTGGTTCTCTAACACTTGGTGACTAACACGGGTCATGGGCTCTGTGGTGTTAGCGCTCCCACAGGTATGTATGGAATTTTCTGAACTTCCCTTTAAAGAGCCCTAACTTCACGGTTTCGATTTCAGGTAGCGAAGCGAACGCTGAAAGTCTGCGGGAGCAGCTCTCTGTTCTGCCTGTTCTTTTACCGTCACGTAATCAACTAACTTTGTACGTGGATTTCAGTGTAAAGTATGCATGTTCTACTTTTGTGTGTATTTAATCATGAAATTTAATTTTGCATTTATTTGTAATGTTTCTTTTAAATAAAAGTGACTAATTTTGTCGTATTCTGTATCCATCAAGGGAAAAGGACTGCGTGTTACAAAACCAAACCCACGGTTTTAGAATCGGCCTCCGCTACCCGTGGGGGCGGCCCTGTGTGTGAGCTCCCGCCGGGGGAGCAGAGGGGAGTGGAGGTGGTTGTTAGCGGGTTTTATCGTCTGGCAGGCAGGCCGAGCCCACTGTGGCGGCAGTGAGGGGGGCGTCCTCCGGGCGGCGCCCGCGTCCTGTCAGGTGCCTGGTCAGGGTTGTGGTGACTCGGCTAACGCTTGAGCCCTAACCTTGCGCAGGGGCGAGGGACGGATCCTGCACGTTCGTACGATTACTAGTTTATGTTTTCCCTAAATACAGTCCCTCTAGCATATCCATCCGTACCTGCCACAGTGCCCAGAGACTGCTTCCAGAGCTGGGGGAGGCGGTGGAGAGGCTGTACCCTGGACAACCCAGGAATGTTCCGGCATGCCCTGTTGAGAGCCCAGTGTGAGATCACGGTCCTGGCTCTGTCACTCTGGGTATGACCTTGCCTCCTCCATACGGTGACACAATAGGAACGTCTTGGGCCATATGTGAAGGAGCCCTTGCCAAGGGGCACCGGAGTTGGCAGCCACAGAGCCACGCTGTCCTGCGAGGGGCCCTGGCGTGTCCCCTGGAGTTTCCCCTTGGGATGGGGAAGGCCCTACTTACCTGGGAAGTAGCCCGGACAGCACGCTGACGGCCTGGAAGGCAAGAGGCAGCCAGGCGCTGTCCACCCACCCAGGCCCGTGCTTGCGAGTGATCACCCCAGGCGTGGCGGAGGAGCAGTGTCCCCAGCACAAGTGCGCAGTCAGGCGAATGTTCTGTGGGCTCACGTAGAACAGAGAAAACTCTTCCAAACCGATAACCATCGCTGTGAAGCTTTGTGTAGAGGGCACAGGACTCCGGAAGCTGGGGACGACCCTCACCTCCTTCCTTGGCTGAGTGCTGCTGGCCCTTTGACATGGGTGTCAGAGGGACGCACACACAAAAGTCCTCCCTCCAGGGGCATCCAGAAGCCCCCACTGGGTGGCTGGGCTGGACAGCTAGTGATTGGTTTGTCACCAAGTGTCCATGTCGATGCTGAGGGGACAGTTCCTTCCCTCTGTGCCGTGGGCTCCTAACATCTCAGGTGGGGACAGAGTCGCCTCAGCGCTCTCAGCTGCCCTGTTAGGGTGTGGGGTCCTCAGGAGTCCTGGACTCCCCTGGGCCTGCAGGGTGGCAGCGGGTCCCTGGTGCCCACTCCCCTCCTCGCCACCACACGTCACCAGCCCTCTGTGGCCCGTGACCCGACGTCTTTACTACGCTTCTAGATGCCAGAGATGGGTTCACAAGACTTGGCCCCTGACCTCTCCTCGGTTCTTTCTGTCACGGGCATTGGATTGATAACAAACTTTGGGAACTTGGGCCAAAATTTTGGCCCTCAAAATGGACCAGAAAATGCTTATGATCAAATCAGTTGTAAAACAGGAAAGAACGGTCTAGAGAACCCGAAGCTGGAAGCAGGAATGCCCCGAGGTGTCACCACAGAGGCCACTCTTGGAAAGCGCCCGCCTTCTGGGATGAAGTTCACAGTTTTCAGCAGCGTCACAGCAGCCGTTCTTTAACTTACTGAACTTCAGTTGCCCAAAGATGCCTATTTGTATTTTTTGCTATTATGAATGTTCTGGAAACCCACCCTTGTGCACACGTTTGCACACTTGTCCCCTTACATTTGCCACTGTCCCTGCTGTGGTTCTGTCGCTGGCTGTGCCCAGCGCTGGCCTCACGTCCACCTGGACTGGGCTCCGGGCAGGCTCAACATTTTGGAACACCTTGTTGGTCATCTGAGATTTTGTTACTTATTCATGCCTTTGCCTGTTTCTCTACTGGTGTATTTTGTCTTTTTGTTTGTAAGGACTTTTTCAATGTACTCTGTATCATTTTTTCTGCTCAATGTCCAGTTCGAGGGTTATTGCTTAGCTGTCTTCACATCTTGAGTATTTACATGGGTCTTTTTCTTTTATGGCTTCTATTGGCTCATGATTAAAGCAAAGCAGCACTTTTTACTGGGCACTATTTACGGATTTTGTTTTCACAGTTCACTGTCACTGAAAGTGATGTCAAAGCGTGTAACGAGGTGAAGGTCGTGTCTTCTGCACCATGGACACTTGGGCATCGCTCACACACAGGTGACCCTGGCCCTGGTGTGCTTCTCAGGGCCCTGGCTGGCACCACTGCCCTGGTACCTCATTTGGCTTAGCATTTCAGCACTCATCAAAGTGTTCCGGTTCAAAAGAAGAACAATGCAGTTGCCCTCTGTAATGCCACTTATCAATTGCTTTATTGCTTATCCACTGACTGAGAATACTACTCCATGGGGAACAAAGTTCTGCTTACGTGGCTCTGCTGATCTTAAGCCTTTTTCCTTCCCAGTGGACTTTACAGTATCTGGAATAATATCTTAAAATAAGAGTATTTTGGTGGAATTAAAAAAATGCAAAAATGAATCCCAAAGCCTAAGGAACAGAACATGTCAGGATTTAATCAGGGCTTTCTCCCGACCGCAGTGTGCTACTTAGTCTCTCGTGCGTACTGTACACACGCTGCCGTTCATATTTGCAGATGATGTGAAGCTGTTCAGCTTGTGTGGGAAGAAGTATCTGAGTTTTTCTTGTGTCCTTCTTGTGTTCTGTTTGGTTTCAAAATAACTATTTACAAAATTACAGTTTGGAAAACTGATGTTTCCACAGTGTGGTTTAATCACATATGGGGCCTACTGAACTTATGACTAAATTTATGGCTTTCATCAAATTGGTGAAAATTTCAGCCATTACTTCCTCAAATCTTTAAAAAAAATTTTTTTTAAAAAATCTTTATTTTTGAGACAGAGACAGAGAGGGAGACACAGAATCCAAAGCAGCTCCAGGCTCTGAGTTGTCAGCACGGAGCCCGACGTGGGGGCCTGAACCCATGAACCGTGAGATCATGACCTGAGCTGAAGTCAAACGCCCAACTGACTGAGCCCCCCGGCGCCCCTCCTCAGGTGATTCTTACTTATCATTGACACTATCACTGCCTGTTCTGCTTTAAAGCCTGTAACCGGGTCTTTTCATTTCAGATGTATTTGTCAGTTCTAAAATTAGTTTCTGATTCGTAGCAAACCTTTGTTTGCTCATCTGAACATTTTTTTAAAAGTTTGTTTATTTTGAGAGTGAGTGGGGGAGGGCCAGAGAGAGAGGGAGACCGAGACTCCCAAGCAGACCCCTCACTGTCAGCCCAGAGCCCAACATGGGGCTCGATCTCACAAACCACAAGAACATGAGTCAGATGCTTAACCAATTGAATCACCCAGGTGTCCCTTGAGCATTTTTTTTACATCCTTTTGCATACTTCTAGTGCCTATGTTGACATCTTTGGTGGTTCTAATGTCTGCTCTTTTTTTTTTTTTTTCTTTTTTTATCCTGAATAGGAGTCACATGGACATGTCTTCGGTGTGTCTAGCACTTTTTGGTTGTGTCCTAGGCATTGCAAATGGTGCACTGTAGATACTATGTATTCTGTTAGGTTTCTCTGAAGAACACAGATTTTTTAAGTGTTTAATCATGCAGAAACGGCGCTGCAGATTCAGTCCCCCCGCGGGGCAGGTGCCAGGGCCCAGGAGAGCAGGGAGCCCTGAGGCGCCCGCCTGGCTTCACACCACTGAGTTTCGTCAGGTGTTTTTCTGCATCTGTTCAGGTGATCATGTTCATCTTTTCTGCTGAAGTGAATCTCATTGAGTTCTGAACGTTCAAGTTCATAACCCTGAGATAAACCCCACTTGACTATTATTTAGTTACTGTTTAGTTACTGCTGAATTCAGCTTGTTTGTATTTAAAGATTTGTTGTCGGTATAAGAGATACTTGTCTGTAACTAAATTTTCTTACACTGTCTTTGCCACATTTTGGATTGTGGATTTCTGGTTAGTAATTTTGCGGTTTGGGCATTAATTTTAAAACTATTTGCTTTGTGCAACAGCCACCAAAACCTAAACATACACTGGATTCTAACCAAAGGAAAGTGGTCCTGAGGGACAGGAGCGACAGCTAGTGAGATGGGATGTTTTTAAAGCTCTGTCCCAGAGGCCGCCATCTCACCCCACCCGTGGCTCTGAGCCTGCCGGACACCTGCCACGCCACGTTCACAGGTTGGTCCTGGCCAGCAGCCCGAGCGCCCTGCAGCCGTGTGAGGTCGTCATGGTGGTGAGTTTCAGTCCTGGGCTGTGGGAGCCGCTGAGGGCAGGTGGAGATCATGACAGTCCAGAGTCTGTCCAGATATCACGGAAGATGGGGTCTCGGTGGCCTCAAAGCGGACATGTGGCTGCAGAAAATCAGAGCATTTCCGACCTGTTCAAACACCTACAAGAGGGGCCGGCGCGTCCATCTGTCAGCTTTGCTGCTGCTGCTGGCCTGTCCCCTGGTGCCGGCAGGCTCTGCCCGATGGCTCCGCTCCAGCAGACAGGAGCTCCCCATCGTCAGGAGCCCGTGACGGGCTAGGTCACTTAGGCTGTAAGCAGAAACGAGATGCCAATCAGACTGACTCATTTATTTGAACATAAAGCACAAGATTTCTGTTCTCAAAATTAAGACCACGAATGAGTTACTTGTCTAATTCTTAGAACGGTCTGCTTTTACGCCATGTTGCAGTAACTGTGTCCTGTCGAACATTGTGCTCTTTTGCAGGTCAGCGCGTGGGTCCCAGAGACACTGTCCAGAGCTCTCCGGGGGCCGCCCTCAAGAGACGCAGGCACCTTTGTGAAGTCAGCCGGCAGCCCTGTCGTCTCACGGAGACCACTTCACACCCCACAGAGCGGTGGACACCGTGATTCGAGAGGACCCCCGGCGGCCCCGCGGTCTGCTTTCGGGGGTGGCTGTGGGCAGGGGCAGCTCCAGTGACGTGGCAGCCATGTCGGTGTCTGAATATAGCGCTGCCCTCCGTGTCCACAGACCGAGGGGCTCCTGGAGCCCTCCCCCAGAGGGACGGAGT